ACAATAAGATGAAAATCTAAGATATATGACTAATCTATATCAGTTTATAGTATATAGAAAGAAAGAGAAAATATGAAATAAAAATGATTTTTACTTGAACTTTGAAATTATCGGACTATGATAAAGATCTTCTAATGAAATAGCACCTAAAGCTCATTTTTCTAACACTCATAATTTATAAAAAAAGCAACAGCGAGCTTTTGTTTTTTCTTTAAAATTACTACGTGAATTAAAATTACATCTGTATATATCATTCAATTCTAAATAAAATAGGTTATTTTGTAATAAATTGAAGTTTGTTATCAATAAAAAACAAGAAAAACTTCTCCATAATTTCTATTTCTTACATGTTTATTTGACTCTGTTGCACTTGCTGTATGAGTATAACCTGAAAAAATCATTGAAGCTTCAGCACGCCAATCTAAATAAATTCATGACATTTTTTTTTTTTGACGAAGAAAAACAAAAAGAGAGATTTATCAATTTACTTTCTGGTAAATCTAAACAATAATAAACATAAAGATCATCATATTCAAAATTTTTTCCACTAACAATTTCACCAAATATATTTAATCTTAGAGCAGCAGGTAATGGCTAAAATATGATAAAAAATAAAAATAAAAATAAAAACATTCATCATTCAAATTTATCTTTGAATTTACCATTTCAAAATCATTTCCAACTAATTGTGCTAAATGTGTTTGTTTTCTTAAACGAACTTCATTTAATAATTTTCGTTCTTTTATAAAATCATCCTTATTTATTGTTATTGAAGCATGATCCAAATAATAATGATATACTTCATTACTAAGATTTCCTGTTTCAACAACATATGCCATTTTACCATGATTAAAATCAGGTTCTAATATAACTGTACCATTTGAATAACTCTGTATGGTACATAAAACATGTTCATTTGTTGGTTGAGGTACAACAAGAAGTTGTGTTGTAGCAGTATCAATAATAGCACTTAAATCAGCCATTACATACATTGTTTGATGTGGTAAAGCGGCTAAATGATTTATACGAAGATCATCAGGTGTTGGTTTTCGATTAATAAGATTTGTTTTTGGTAAATATTCTTCATCACTAAATAAATATTTAGACAAAATTAATTTTTTAAACTTTTGTTTTATTCAATTGAACAAACCTTATTTTAAAACGTGATTGAACAGGACGACGTTTTCCTTAAAAAAAACAAATGATATTTATAAGAAAAGTTTTTGAAATATCAGATTTTGTCTTTTGAAGAATTTCAAAATTCAAATATTTTCAATCTAAATGTATTTAATCTACTAATTCAAAGGTCGAGTACGAATCAAAGGTTATCAAATCACATATAAAACAAGATCATTTTTTTTTATCTCATATTTGTAATTTCAATCAGTTGAAAAAAGTTATTGATAACGAGAGAACTACTTCAAATGTAAACCACCATTGGAAATTATATGAGATCATAAGGAGATTTCGGTAAGATTAGAAAAAAAACCTAAGAATGTTTGTCCCCATGTGCGCCGAATTACAGTTGTTATACTGAATTCTTGATTCATTTTAAGATTTTTAATGAAAAATGAACTAATAAAACTTCGAACTTAAAATTTTATTCATAGATTGGTGTCTAAACTAAATCCAATTTCTCTACTTGGATGAGACTTGAACTATGTTTCAAAGAATAAATTTTTCTTTCTAAGACTTACGAATATTATTAATTCCTAATGCTACTTGACTTGGTTCTTCATTTGGTGAATCCGTCATAAAATAACCAAACTAAATTCAAATAAAATAATATTAATCAAAAATTAAAATAAATATATTTACATCTTTTTCAAAACAATATGGATCACCCTCAATATAAGTAAATATACGTCCAGGTTGTTTTCGATTTGCTCTAAAATTTAAAAAAAAGAACAAGATTTATTTACTTTCTTATCATCAATTTATTTTTTTTTACTTCATTTTTTGTATATCATCAAAGTATTTTCTTTCAAGTGCTGTACTTTCAGGCCCAATACCTTTTCCATATCTTTCAAATTCAAACTAATATAAAACAAAATAAAAATGAATTAAATAATAAATAAAAGAAAACAAACATACACGACTAAATATTTTCTGTTGCCAACCAATAACAACTTCTTCATAATCAGATCGTTTGGATTCTTCTAATGCTTGAGCTACATCTGTTTTTGAAGCTTTAGCTTTTTCAGATTGTTTATCATCTATATTAAGTAAACGTGATAAATCTTCTTCAATTTTTATTCGTTGTAAACTAGGTAATAATGCATTTGATGTTAAACGTTCTAATTTAACTCTAAATAGTAAATAAAATGAATAAGAAATTCATTAAATTTTGACATTTTGTTTATTTTCTATTTTGATATTACCGAATTTTAAAATTATTTATTGAATCAGTTGAACGATAAACACCACAATTAATATCATTTTCAACTAAATTCGACATGATAATTTTCTTGATATAATTTATAAAGAATTATTCAACAATTAAAACATGGCTTCGTTATGGTAAATATTGGCCTTAGTAATAACATCTGAATGGTTCAATCATTTTATAGATGTCGCTTTCTTCTTTTTTCTATATTAGATTGTCTATTCTATACATATGAATATTATTATAAAGGTTATTTATTTTTTTTATTCATGTATCGAACATTAGTAAAACAATTGATTATTTCTCGAATTTATCCAAGTGTTAATATTCATTTATCAACTCCAAAAGTGGAAGAAACAATAAATAAAAATGTTCAACAAACAAAATCTGATAATACAAATGATGATGTGAAATTTGATTATATTAATAAAACAGGTATTATTCTATTGAATAAACCTAAAGCATTAAATGCATTATCATCATCAATGATTCATAAAATTTATCCAAAGATGAAAGTATAAATTTTTTGTTTTTCTTATAATTTATAATTATTGACAAAAAAAATAATTCCTAGGAATGGGAATCAGATGGTAAAACTCAATTAGTTATTATGAAAAGTACAACTTCAAAAGCATTTTGTGCTGGTGGAGATATAAAAGGTAAACAAAAAAAATTATTTTCAATTTCTCTTTTTCTTTTTCATTTGAAAGAAAAAAAATTTATTTTCTTTTAGCTCTTTTGGTTAAAGCACCAGAAGGTGAAAAACTTCGATGTGAATTTTTTCGTGATGAATATAAATTAAATTATCTTATTGGAAATTATAAATTACCATATGTAGCTATTATAAATGGTATAACAATGGGTGGAGTAAGTCGATTACAATAGGATTTTATGGAGATTAGATTTGTTTTTTTGTTTGTTTTGTAGGGTTGCGGTTTATCTGTACATGGACCATTTCGAATAGCAACAGAAGCAACAACAATTGCTATGCCTGAAACAGCTATTGGTAAATGAAATTGAAATTATAGAAAATAATATAATTTCAATTTTTGTTTTTGAAGGTTTATTTCCTGATGTTGGTGGATCACATTTTCTTCCACGTTTACCATCTAATCTTGGAGTATTTCTTGGATTAACAGGTCATCGTTTACGTGGTATTGATAATTATCATGCTGGTATTGCAACACATTTTGTACCAACAAATAAAGTGAATATTTGCAAATGAATTATTTAATTTCATTTTCTTTTTTTTTTCCTAATAATTAGTTAGAAGAAATCGAACGAAAACTTGTGGAAATATCAAATGCAGATTATAAATCAGTGAATGCAGTTTTGAATCAACATGCTAAATTGGTAAGAATTAAAATAATAGATAATCTATTTTTGAGTGTCACTATATGTGCTATTCAGTATTATGTTCAGAGAAAACAGATAATTGATGAACAAGAGAAATCTATATAAAGAGGTATGAATAGAGAATTAAAGAAGTTTATGACAAACAAAGAAAATCATTGGATTGACTTTATCAAGTGTAGTCATACGACGTATGCCAATATTTTTCATATTTAAAAATTAGTCTTTTTCAATGTTTACATAGCACATCTGATAAATGTAGAAAAGATCAATACAAAATACACATTTGACTTCTTGTAAAATTCAATTTAAAAGCAAAGCTGATATAATAAGTGAAATATTTGGTTAATACTTCTTGACAGATATAAATGCAAAATCAAAGTCTACTACAGATTTATTGTCAAGGAATATTGAGTTTTATAGTGACAAAATTATATTCTATCAATCTTTCCACGTTCTAACGATGTCTATTTTTCGCTGTGTTTATACACGTATCGTATCACTAACGTAGGAAGTCCCGCAACTAATAAATTGCTTTTGAGTCGAGACTATGAGAATTATGTAGACCCCAATGAATTATGAATACTCTCAAAATAGTTCGTATCATTAGCTTATTGCTGCGAAGATACTATATTTTTACGGTATATTTTTAATAAATGTCGTGGTCTCTCTTTCAGGAACACTAGATAAACTGATTTTCGAATTTCGACTTCAAACTTTGTACAGAGTGAGACTTTAAAACAAGAATAGTTCATTGTGAATGTTTCCAGTCTTTTAATTTGCTTCTATCTCCAAATAAGAACATTAAATCTGTCAGTTTATATGCGCAATGTAAAAGACACACTATTACCATAGCTGTACTTTAGGATAGGCATAGCGACAAGATCTGATACATTCACAAAAAAACTTATTCTTGTTAAGGCCTATCTCTATGCTAAGTTTCAAATCGAAAGTTGAAAATCAATTTTTCTGACATTCCTGAAAGAGACCACAGCATTCATTTAAAACATATTGTACAAGTGTAATATCTCCGTAGTAATAATCTAAGGGCACGTAGCCTCGACTCAGTTGGCGAATTTCCCTCATAGATCTCTTTCTTTATACTAAATGCAGTTCTATTATCATTTCCATTACTTTTTTTTCGGAAGAATTGCATCAGTATGTGTAGACTTACGTTTTCCTGTATTGCCCATTTAATTAAGCATCCTTTTCAAAAAAAAATCATTTCAGACTTTTATTATCTAAGAAAAAAAGAATTCAAACATTATTTTTCATCGTGTGTTAGTTTCTTGTAATTCAAATATTTGGTTATATTCTAAAAAATACTATATTTTTTTTTCTGTGTTCATTAACAGATTGATTCACAACCACGATTTAGTTTAGAACGTGAATTACCTTTAATCAATGATCTATTTTCAATCGATACAAAAGATGTTGAAACCATTCTTGAAAAATTAAAATCTAATGGTTCAGATTTTGCTTTAAAACAACTTTCAATTCTTGAAAAAATGGTTTGTTTTTTATTTTCTTCATTTCATTTGTATTCCAAAAAACTTGTTTTTTTTGTTTTTGTTTTTTACTCTATAGAGTCCAACATCACTTAAATTAACATTTGAAGAAATAAAACGTGGTAAAAATTTAAATTTAAAAGATTGTTTAATTATGGAATATCGTATGGTACAAAATGTTATGAATGGTCATGATTTTTTTGAAGGTGTTCGAGCCGGTAAATATTTATTTAATAAACAAAAAAAAAAAAAAAAAAAAAACTTTATTCTTTTTCAATTAAGTTCTGGTTGATAAAGATAACAAACCTCAATGGAAACCAAATTCATTAAAAAATGTTTCTGATAAAGAAATAGAACAATATTTTGAAAAACCTTCATCCCATGAAGATTTACAATTAGAATGAAAAAATTTAAAAAAAACAAAAAACAAACACAAGAAAAAGAAAATTTTATACGTGCAAGTGAGACAATATTTAGAAATGTTAATTGTTGTCGTTGTTGTTATTTTTCGATTTTTGATAAAAACTGTTCTATGAATGATGAGGTATGTTTGTATCAAGATTAATTGTTGATAATGGATTACGTTGAAAACATTTTTCATTTTTTATTAATAGATTTGTATCTAATGAGGAAGAAACAAAAGAATTTTTCATTGATATTGTTAAATGATTAAGACATTCATTCCATTGATCATGAGATAAAAGTTCTTGTAATTGTTGAATATAAGCAATAACAAATTCGAGAAATTCTAATTCAGTTAAACATTGATTTTTTGGAATTGTTGGAACGAGTGAAGCTAGTTTTTTAAATTCTTCTTCAAGTTCATTATTATTATTATTATTATTGTCATCATTATATAAATTAAGAGAAGACGTCATAGTGTGTGTGTGTGATGATCTATAATAGAAAAAAAAATAATAATAAAGATATAGCAATAGTTTGTCGATCATTTTTTTTTTGTATCGTTTACTCGAGTTACAACAACATTCAATAGAATCTCGTCTCTGTTCTCTTTTTGTCCAGCTGTCTATCTATTCTATCTGGATGTCTGTCGATCGTCGGAAAAAAAAAACGGGAAAAGAGAAAACGCATACACATTATATGCTATCTAATCTATCATTATTATTATTCTTTATTATAAACACGTTTGCTTTTGTATAGAAGATCATCTTTCTCTTCAATTGCGTTTCAATAGAATGTGACAAAATAGATAAATATAAATTTACCTCATTTTCATTTTATAATAAAAACAAAAGGACATGAGACTTTTTTTATCAATCATTTTCTCTTTCTCTCTCACACATACACAAAATCATATATATA